CACTCAGCCACCTCCCTCTCCATCCACACAGTGGAATGCCAAGCATTCTGCTCTCAGTAAACATCACAGTCCTCCATGCAAAGCCTTCACCTGACCCCAGTGACACCAGAATCCTGACACTTAATATCTGTAGTCACTAGCCAATTGAGCCAAAGGAGGATAAATAGATCCCCTGTAAACAAAATGAATACTGCTTCACATATCTCCATTGATAAGAAGGTTATTTTTCTGTTAAAAATTCTAGGCACTTGGAATTCAGCGAATTCTTGACAATATATTCAAGGTCACGGGACACATAATACATTTTCATACTTCCCACAATAGCGAGTCCAGAAAAGGGCTTTAAATCATTGCCTGGGGAATGGCCTGGATAGGCTTGTTCCAGGGCTCTTGGGAGTATTGCTTGCTGGAATTGCCTGTGTAAATCACACTTTTTTTTTTTTAACAACTTCATTGTTAGACAAGAGCATCCCAGCATGATGTAACCATTCTTCTCAATGGAGATGAAATAAGTGACAATGATTAGAATCTTAGAATGTGATTCTTAGAAGAAACATCACAGAGGGATTCATTGTCTACAACTAAAAACAAGGACTCGTGTCCATCAGTAATATTATTGGTGGGAATATGTATGTGTGTGCACCTTTGACTAAAGGTCAACCTTTGTGTTAAAAATAGAAAGACAAAACCCATACCTTGGAGTTCCTGTTCACTTAGCAAGTGCTTTAGGGGGTTGCCAATAGGTTAAATATCAACCTACCTTTTCAATCACTAATTTTTCAAGGAATTTCTCTTTGACATCTGAAGACACAGTGCATTTTTAAAACATGGCTACCAACTGAATCTGAATACGGAGAATAACAAAAGCAAAGACCCCAAAGCCTCTCAAAGGGATAGTCCGGAAAGCAAGTTATAGATAACAGCCTTAGCATTGGAATAGTCAACAGAAGTACAGTTTTTCACTCAACACATCTCCTAATAATGTGCTAACCACACTGAAGAGACATTGAAGCTGTATATTAATGATGGATGATCTAAAAACACCAGTGTTAATGAATGTGTGAGTAGCCAATTTGATTATAGATAAATATACATATATAAAAGCAATAACAGTGAGAGAGTTAACAGTAGAGAAACCATTGGGAAGAAGAGACAAAGGAGAGGATCCAGAAGTAACAGGATCTTCATTTCTTTCACTGCTTCCCAACAACCGCATCCTCTACCACCTGGTCAATGTCCTCTTTTATTTATTGAGTCATGACATATCTATTGAGTGTCTCCAATGGTAGGTATGTCCTACCATATGGAGGTATTGAGGAAAAGAATATAGACTGTCTCCAAAGATCTCTGAATTCAAAGACAAGCAGAAAGATCATCCATCATAAAACATAGTGTGAGAAGTAAATCATTCATTCAGGGATTTTATTCAGCAGATCTTTCTTGAGCATATACTATGTGCCAGGCATCACACTAGGCCTGGAGATTTCAGGTCACATGAAACAAAATAAAGCCAGAGTCCTGCAGCCTAACAGATCAGATTCTCATCAATTAGTCTTGGCTGCCTGATCACATTGCTGGAGGATCAAAGTAGAATGAATCATGAACTTCCATAGGGATATGAGCCAATGCCAAATGTCACTTAGGGTTACACAGTCCTTTTTATACTTGGAAAACAAAACAAAACAAAACAAACAAACCGAAACAGACAGACAGATTAGAGCTTCTCCCAGTCAGTACTCTCCATCTTGGAAGTTGACCCTACTTGTGACTTGAGCTCCCAGAAGGCAGGGACCACATGCTCCCAGCACCAAAGGCCTAGTCATTAGCTGGATGAGGAAGTGACTTCAGTTCCATGACAGGGGAAGGAGAAAAAAAGGGGGGGCACCCAATAAGACTAACAAATTCTGGAAGAAAATGAGCCAGCACATTTCTAAGTTGGGATGAAAAAGGAATGATGGATTGGATTTATCCGATCCCACCCCACCCCTGCTAAATGGGGCCATATGAAAAACATTTTTAATAAGACACCAGGACATCTGCCAAAAGAAACATTTTCCCAGAGAGGAAGGCTGGGAGTGGGGATCCTGTTTCACAGATCACTGCCGTGCTGGGAGAGGGTTCCTGTCTTATGAAAGGGCTTCCCCACAGCCCCAGCTCTGAGGGAGAAGGAACACCACTCATGTCACTTGTCCAGCTCTTTGTGGTCACATCAATGTAAGGGTTGAGTCATATCATAAAGTGTCACTTCACCTGGAATAGAGAGCAATGCTTGCCCATCTACAGCCAGTACCACCTTTTGGCCATTCTATTGGTAACAGTCTTCCTTTTGAAGCACTTAAGAAAGGCTTCTATTTTAAAAAACTGACTGAAATTCTTCTCCTTTTGTGTTAATCACCAGAAGAATGGGTTTTTGTGTTTGTCTAGGCCTCTTCTTCCAGCCACTTCACTGTAATTCTGTTTTGTCTAAAACTTACCAGTGGTGACTCGCTCCGATGGAGCCATTGTGACAGCCAAGATCAGAAGACTTCCTTTTCTGGTCTCCAAGTGTCTTCTTCTTTGCATACTACTTTATAATTACATTCAAAGAGGCTAACCTCCCGGAAGCTTGGTCATAGCCTCTTTTTTCTTTCCTCCTCTTCAAGTATCTCTCTCTCTCTAGGAAATGGCCGTTTTAGCTTATGATTTTTCAGTGCATTCATCAAAGGACTGCATGCACCTTTGCATTTGAGGGAATGAGCTTTTTCTATTTCTTTGTTTTCTAGGACCTTTGTGTTGCATTTCTGCCACATAATCTCTTCCCAGACTTTGTTCTTACTCAGAAATTGCCCTGGAAGACTGTTCACTGAAATGCTCTCCTCAGTTACAGTCTTCCTAACTTACAAGATTTTAAAGGTTTCTGTTTAAAACACCCATATCACCTTGAGAAAAGTTTGGGAAAGCAGGAAAGGTTAAGGCTATAAAGTGATTAATAGCATACATAACAATGTACCTGAGAATTTTCCAGAAACAGTGGAAAGGTTGAAAAGGATAAAAGAGTAACCTAGCCTCCCAAGCTAGATGCTGTACTGTAACCTGGTGGGTCTCTGTCATGGTCCTCATGCTACGCTCACTCCCTTGGGCCTTCCAGCCAGCTCAAGCTCATCCCTTATCTTGAGTGATTTCTACTCCTCCCAGAACACATTCATCTTTTCCTTCTGAGTTCTGGTACATGTGCACTTCTGTCCCTTCTCCTTCCCACCCTGATATCCATCTCACTCCTAGAAAGCAGAGTTTGCAAAACACCTGGATAGTCTATGAGGGCCTATGATTTTTCTTTCTAAAGAGAATTACCGTATGCCGATGAGCTTCATCCTTCATTTCCCAGGCAACTCTACCAATTTCTTAGGTCCTAGCAGGACATATAATAAAATGGTCTAAAAATGGGCATGACTTCTCAGGGGCCTGGCCTCAGATTAAGCATAAGTCCAGCAGAGGTAACTGAAGCAAAGTAGCCACATCTGGCTCCTCCCTCACTCTGACACTCAGCCCTTTTGAAAGCCCACTCAGCACGGTCAGCGCCTCACTTCAAATGTCACCTGTCTCCTGAATTCTGTCTTTCATACTCTCAGTAAATCATTATCTTCTTTAGGTAGGTAGCAACCCTTTGTGCTCCCTCCAAGACTAGTCAAACTGGGTTTTGATCTGGGGACATAAGTGGAATCTGCTGAGAGAATTCACTACCTTAGGACTTGGATTTTTGAACATGAATTTTTAGGAGATGACCTCTATAGCCCTTCTCCATTAGCAGTGTTTTTGTTTTGGATGGAGATTGATTTCCTTATTAGCCCGGGCAAATAACCTATTTTATATGTATTGGGAGATAAAACCCAAACTTTACCACCATTCGACTTCCACCCACTAACCTTCACAAAATACTCATGGGGACAAGAACAGATACTGGCCACAGGAATGCAGCATAAAAGTGGGAATTCAGAGCTAAGGGATGCTTCCGTGGCTGTTAGAATATGTTCTTCATTTGTGTAAACCTGAATGTGTCATTTATTTTTGTGGGTAGAATTTACAGTCAAGATCCAAAATGAGCAGTACAAGTGTCTTTAAAAGGAACCTCCTGTTGGGGGCGCCTGGCTGGCTGAGTCAGTAGAGCATGCAACTCTTGATCTTGAGGTCATCAGTTCAAGCCCCCACATTGGGTATAGAGCTTACTAAAGAAATTAATTAGTTAATTAACTAATTGAACCTCCTGCAATTCTTGAGTTCACAGTGGATGATAAATCTCAGTGCTTCCTCCGTATCATTGTGTTCCAGAAGGATACATCTCTGTCCCAGCTCTGAAGGATTACCTAATATTTTAAGCTTCTTTGTTTCTATGGAAATTCTAGAAGAGGGGCTGTTTTTTCCCATCTAAACCCAGATTCACAGATTTTTAGTCCTAACAGAACTATTCAGTAGCTCTTCCTCTTAAATGTGGCCCCCAAAGACAATATTTATTCCTTCTATCACCCAGTTAACCACTTAGCACGTAAGTGTGCAAAGAGTATGTTCTACACAAATAAACAAGGTGCCCGCAGTGATCCCAACATGCCTTGGTGTAACGTGTGCAGAGAGATGGACAACTGTCTTGAACAGAGTCATGGGCAGAAGTTGTGTTAGTTTCCTTTTCTAGCAGCTCATTACATTAAAGAGTAAAGACCAGGGATCCCTGGGTGGCTCAGCGGTTTAGCACCTGCCTTTGGCCCAGGGCATAATCTTGGAGTCCTGGGATAGAGTCTCATGTTGGGCTCCCGGCATGGAGCCTGCTTCTCCCTCTGCCTGTCTCTGTCTCTATGTCTATCATGAATAAATAAAAATAAAATCTTAAAAAAAAAAAACAAAAAAGAGTAAAGACCAAACCTACAGGAATCAAACAGGACTGCCTAGCTGGTGGAACTGAACGCCGATCTTCTTCCCAAGCCGTTTGTAAACACAAGCCCTCTGTGTCTTTTGGTTTCCCTTCTGCTCAGATGCGCAGCCCACAGAAGGAGAGAGGGAAATCTGGAACCAGATCAGCGCCGTCCTCCAGGATTCTGAGAGCATCCTCGCAGACCTGCAGGCTTACAAGGGCGCGGGGCCAGAGATCCGAGATGTATGCCAATGATAACACTGAGCTGACAAGACCCTCGGACGAGAAGGGAAACCCACACACGCACACACACCCAGCAAGATTAAGTAATAGCCCTAGTATTTCCTAGTGTACGAGGAAGAACAAGGAGGGTAATGTGGTTTTTACAAAAGTATGAATGGCCCCCTTTATTCTAGTACGTTAATATGAGTACACGGCACTGTAGACCGTGTAAGATATTAGCCCTTCTCCTCTCAGTCATACCTTTGCTAGCAGAGGACTGACGTTTAAGCAATCAATTCATCAGCATGTTACTTCATGTAAGGGAAACATACATATAAAGTCTCTGGACAACAGTTGAAATATAAGTCACAAGGAAAAAAAAAAGAAATATAAATCATGAGATCTGGGTTTGCACAGATTTCCCAGCATATTGTAATAATTGTGTCAGGTCCCACAGTATCACAAACGACAGCTGTAAGCTAGCTTGCTTTAAGTAGCCTGCAGGTCCCCATCTTGAAATGGCTTGAGTTTAAAAAAATAAATCCCTGAAAAAAAAAAAAAAAACACCAAAACAAAACAAAACAAAAAAAAGATTGTCAGCGTGGCTTTTAAGACTTCATAATGCCTAAAAGGCAAGAAACTTCACACTCCTTTTATTTGACATAATTAGTTTTGTGGAAGTATCAACACATACACACATACCTTACTGCCAGGGCCACCATCTTTCTGGGAAAAAAAAATCCCACTAACGTAATCCTTCAGCTGCTGAAACCCAGACAAAACATCATTTCGAAGAAAGTGACAGCCTCTTGAGAGGTAGTCTTTCTACTTAGGGGTCACCATTAATTTAGGGGATGTAGGTAACATCACAGAACAGAAGGCGTGTGACACACATTATAGACAAAGGAAGACATCTGTAGGATCTGCACTTTCTAATGAGCACTGGCTCTACTTCAGTAGAATCAAAATGTGATGGAGGAAGGCTAAATGGCTTCCAATTAGATTTGCAATTTTTTTTTGCATTTAAAATAAGAGAAACAAGATGCCGCAGGATCTAATTGTAGGGGCACTTGGACTATGTTCAAGGGCTCAAATCTCCATTCTAAGCGAGCATCTTGGAGGACAGTCCAGTGAACACATGTCACTTTAACAGCACACTAGCAAAGTATACTAGGAATTGTATTTTCTTAAAACAAAATCCTTTCTCAATCTTAAGGCATTTTGATGGGGTACTTTTTGCCTCTTTTTAAACAGACGATTCTTTCATATTTTGGTAGGCGATTCAAAATCCCAACGACATTCAGCTTCAAGAAAAAGCTTGGAACGCGGTGTGTCCTCTGGTCGTGAGGCTAAAGAGATTTTATGAATTTTCCATAAGGCTAGGTGAGTATGTGTTTATAGTTTTCATCCTATGTGTGAGGTTCTGTTACGGGGTTTGTGACAGGATTAGGAAGAACTAGCTCAGTGCGCTGGGGAATGGTCTACATCCATCGGGAGTGTCTTTGGAGAGGCCGATCATGGACAGAAACACCTGTCATTTTCACTTCCTTAAATTCATCTCAGCGTTGCTTCCCCTGCAGTTATCCACACATCGAGAGTGTCTTTACTGGTGGGTGTCCCTCCGGTCTTGTTCTCAGCCAAGTCTCACTGGTAACAGTTTTGTGGGCTGATCACATTTCTGAATGACAGAGAAGTTGAAACAAACAGGTTACTTGCTAACTGAAAAAGGACTTGATTTGCTGGAGACGTGATAAATTTAATATAGTAAAATACAGGAAAAACAAACATTCTAAAGATAGACCTGCTTTTAAGCTTTAAAAACACCTGTACAGGTACAGGATGGCTTTGCAGAAATGAAAGTAAAGTCTGGCTAACAATAGCACCTATATGACATAACCACTTCTCCAAGTGTAAAGCCATATGGGGTTTCATTAATTATTATATTTGGTATATTTGGGATGAGGAAAGGGATAGTCATGTTCTACTTTACTTTTGCTGTAAACAAATGCCACATTTTAAGAGTTCAAAGAGAAATTGAAACAGTTTGGGAGGATAATAGTCATGGTGTTGAGACAGCTTGAAGCTAAGACCCAAAGGGAATGGTTGAATGAACTGAAACAGCTTTTCAAGGAAAGAGAGCTTCTGAAGACTCTCAGATAGCTTCTTCTCTGTTTCCTTCTTTTCTCTTTCTTCAAAGTGTGTATCTTGACCCAATGAACTGAAATCCTCATGAGCCAGATATTTAACAGAATGACAAAGATCCACCTGTCACAGCAGACCAAGGTAGAACTGGCTACCTTAGAAGGCAGTACATTCCTGTAAATGGAAAAGATAAGAGATATCCTTGTAAGGATGCTGTAAAAGACAATTAAGGGACTGTAGATCAAGTGCCAGCAAACTTGTCTGCAAAGAGCAGATAATAAACATTTTAGGCTTCTGGGCCAAAAATATTTGTTGCATCGACTCCACTCTGCCACTGTAGCTCATTAGTAGCCATTGTTAATACATTAAGGAATGGAAATAAAGTGGGGCTATGTTTTAATAAAACTTTATTTGCAAAACTTGACCATCTGCCAGGTTTGGTCTGTGTTCCATAGTTTGCCAACCCCTGCTATGGAGCATTGCTTAAATGAGTCAATATTGTTAGCAATATGTTGAAGGGAAAACTGGCGGGAATGTATAGAGATAGACAAGAGGGAGTGATGAGACCATTTCAAGGGCTGTAACAGAGATCGATATGGCAGTGGGTTGCAGAAAAGTACTGCTGGGTTAGGTTAGAGAGTAGGTGCCGTGAGGAGCTGGAAAGGGACCCAAAGTCTCTCTGGGCAGTGCAAATTATCTAACCCGTGTGTTCCAGGTCACCTCTTCTCCTCTTCTGTCATCAGTGACTATCTCATGCACAGAACCCAAAAACATGTATCTGTGGTTTCCAAACAGTGGTAGGAGTTGGCACTACAGAACACTGAGAGTTGAATTGAGCTTTGAGAGACACAGAAAAGACTGTGTGGCCCTGGGGGCCTCCCACAGTGGGGTGCCAGGGGCAGCCCGTTTGGGCCTGGGCTCCTTTCTCTTATCCACACACATCACCCTATATACAGTTATGGGAAAAGACATGGAAAAGCTAGATCCAAGCAGGTTTATCTCTGAGAATGTCAACTGGGCCTAAAAACTGTGCTTTCTTTTAAAAGATCTCCATGGGCCACCTCAAATATATATTTATCACTTTGACTTTCAGAAAAAGCTCTTCAGAGTTTATTAGAATCTCTGACCTGTCCACCCTACACGCCAACCCAACACCTGGAGCGGGAGCAAGCCTTGGCAAAGGAGTTTGCGGAAATTCTTCATTTTACCCTTCGATTTGATGAACTGAAGGTTAGACCACATATGCTACAGCAGTGTAACAGACTTGTCCTGAGCACCTACTGTGTGCCAGCACTCTGCTCATGCTGTGGGGCGGGGATTAGATGGGTAAGAGGTAGCTCCTTCCCTACGGAGACAGATAATGTGGTGAGAATTTGCATCCGCAATAGTAAAACTGATTTAGGATGGTGGCTTGTGCATGGAAATTCAAAATCTGCCAAATGCAGTAAGAGGAAACCTTTTCAAGTATCTGTCCTGACTAAGAAGAAGTATCCTTTCCCTGAAAGCTAGCTTATAGTAAAAGCAGGGCATATATTAAAATAATGAGGCTCTCAGTATTTATTTTTAACTAGAAATTGCTTTGATTGTTGGATAACGAAGGGACATCCTGGTGTATTTACCAAGTCTAGTGTCTGGGTTCCTGATGCATGTCCTCCATGTGATGCGGAGTTGTGACCTTCTTTCCTCTCCTCTGAATTGCAGATGAGGAACCCAGCTATTCAGAATGACTTCAGCTACTACAGAAGGACGATAAGTCGCAACCGCATCAACAACATGCATGTGAGCCCCTGATCCGTACACCCATTCTCCGCATCTTCCTTTGATTGTCCCCATCAGGCAGAGCACAAGGAAAAGACAGCCCTCAACTGTAATTCAGTTTCCAGCAGACGCTGTTTGGCGATTTTTGACCATGTCTTTATCAATTTCATCTTCTCTTCTTATTTTCATCAGCTAGACATTGAGAATGAAGTCAATAATGAGATGGCCAATCGAATGTCCCTCTTCTATGCAGAAGCCACGCCAATGCTGAAAACCCTTAGCAATGCCACCATGCACTTTGTCTCCGAAGTAAGTGGGGCTGAGCACCCAGGCGCTTTTCTCTTAATTGCACGTAAAACCTGCTAGCAAGGCTAACATACTTTTGTGCCTCCCGTTTAGAACAAAACCCTGCCAATAGAGAACACCACAGACTGCCTCAGTACGATGACGAGTGTTTGTAAAGTCATGCTGGAAACGCCGTAAGTGAAATCAGAGGCGGATTCGTGGTCTAGAGTTCACCTAGAGAGAGCTTGTCAACATGATTGATGGGGTCGATGATGAGGATGGTGATGACAATGGTGGTGGTGGGGGTGGTGGTAACATTTAGGTCAGCACGTTAACATTTACATGTATATTACCTGAATTAATTTCATAAGGAACTCTGGGTGATAAACGTAATCCAGCCCCATTGTGTAGTTGAAGACACTGAGGTCCAAACTGGTTCACTGACTTCCCAAAGGTTGCTTAGCTTGTTAAGTGGCAGAACCAGAACTCAAACCCAAGATGCTATAGAAGATGGGGAAGGGCCAGATGGAGGCTTACATGCCTGGGTATTATAAATATATTGGGAGAATGGGTTTGATAGAAGATTTAGAACGAAGAGCAGAAGTGGTAAGACTGTTGCAAGAATGATAATGGAGACCTCTCTCTCTCTTTCCTTCTCTTTTCTTTTTCTCTTTTCTCTTCCCTCACTGCCTCTCCCTCTGTCTCCCTCTCTCAGCAGTTTCTTTGTACTTAAACTAGTTGCTGGATTTGAGAAGTGGCAGAGGTTGTAAATGGCGAGGCAGCATGGTGATGAGGAAGTCCACACCACAAGCCAGGGTTCCAGTTATCTCATTAGCTACATTTGTGCCCTTAGACGGGTGGTATGGCCTGCCCACACCTTGGTTTCCTTATCTGATGAAGTACTTGTAATGTCATCTATGTGGCGAGGGCTTGGAAGGGCCAGAGACCTCAAAAGTGCCCTATGAAATGTGCTCCTCTGTTCAAATGTAAGATGGTGTTAATTGCAAATATTTCACTTATATCAAAGTTAAGATTTATTCCAAGACAGAAATAGTAATCATCTTCATTGAGGGCCCAATTCATAATGAAATAGATGTTAAGAAAGCCTCTAGAATTATCTTGAGTTATCTGGAGTATCAGGGACCCTGTTAAGGTAAGTGAACAAAATCCAAACTCCACAAATACTCCCAGCCCAGGAAATGGTACATAATTTTTTTTACGTATCTTTGCCAATCCAATTCAATCCACAGCCTGTGTCCTAACAAAGGAAGTTACTCTGACTGGAGACATGATAGCTGCTCTGTAGAAATGAGCCTGATTCTTTTTCTCCATAATGAAGCCATTATTCTCTATAATCTTAGACAGCCAGAGGGACCTGCTATAAAATATTCAAGATTGATGGGTGTGGGGAGTGATGTACGTGATGAGCTGGCCTGCTGAAGGGCAGAAGAGAAGAGAATTTACTGCCCTCTAATTTACCTTATTTTCACACTGAATTGCTGGTTGGATAGATTCAAGAAGAATTATCATCATGGGCTTCTTTAAGAGCATATTAACCTGGTTGTTGCAGGTCTGAGATTGTTCTCAAGAGATGATTGGAGGAGTCTAAAGTAGCCAGAAATGAACGGGCTCCGGCAAGGAGGTAACACAGCTGCATTTCTTCTCTCTTCCAGGGAGTACCGGAGTAGGTTTACAAGCGAAGAAACGCTGATGTTCTGCATGAGGGTGATGGTGGGAGTCATCATCCTCTATGACCACGTCCATCCCGTGGGAGCTTTCTGCAAGACATCCAAGATCGATGTAAGAATAGTTATGAACTCTGCTTTCCAAATAAGAGCTCGTGCATGTTGCCAAACAGATCTTGCTTCTCTCTCTCTCTCTCTCTCTATCCTCCATCCACCACTGAGAGGGATCTCTCCAAGATGCAAGCCCCCTCCTGGCAGCTATCCTCATAGCAAGGAGTCCAATCTTTTCCCTGTACCTACAGCAAAGCATCCAATCAAAAATCATAGCAAGAGCTCAGAGATACTAATCCCCTTAGCCTGCAGAGTTGCTGAGCACATGTGAATGGTCACTTAGTTACAAACTGCCCCTTCAGGGGACCCAATGTGCCATATGGAGAAAAAAAATTTTTATATATATATATATATATATATATATATATATATATATATATTCATTTATTTATATATTTTATATATTTATATATTTATATTTATATATTAAATATATAATATGTATATGTATAAATGTTATATGTGTCTTAAAGTGAGCAGCATTGGGAGATCTTGGATTATAAGACACCATGGTCAAATTTCAAACAACATTCCAACTTCCTCTCCTACCACCCCCCACCGGTGGCTCTACCCAATTGCCATGCCCTTTTTTGTCATTGGAATATGCTTGAACCCTCTTCCTTGCCCAGAGGGCCTTCCCTTCTTTCTGATGGGTGGATTCTTTTAAAACATTCAACAAATGTCACCTCATTCAGGAACACATCTCCTGGACCCTGCATGGTTAGGACCTCTTTTTCTCCTCTGGCCCCCAGAGCACTTGCCATTTTGGATTTTCTGATATTTTCTCATAGACTCCAAGTTTGATTGTAAGGGCAGAGACCATGATCTGTATACCTCACATCTGCTCTACTGCCTAACAGTATACCTGACACGGAACATGACACTCAATAGATATTCTGTAGTGTTTTTACTGAATGAATGAATATAACTGGAAAACACGTGATTTTGGTGTACAAATGATTTCTGTGGATTGTAGCATAAAACACATCTCCTCTTAGCTCTCATCTGCAGCATCAACCCAATAGTATATCCCATGTGTTAATATAAAGCCCTTTTAGGGCAGAGTAGGCCCTTTTGGGATTTATTCTGCCCGTGCTCAGTTTAGGGAGCATGCTCAGTTTTCACTCATCTGCACGGAACAACATCTCTGATACTTTAGTACCATGCAGACAGAAAGTCTTCAATGCAGACAGAAAGAGGGACCACAAGACCAAAGACTGTAAGGAATGTATCAATTAAAGTGCAACTTAGATTACTTATTTTGAAGGTCTGGGTTCCTAGCACAGCTAGTCATGGTTCTTCATTGAGTCTTTGTTTTTTAATTATTATTTTGTTATTTTCTGTTTACCAAGAGAAAAAAGGATTTGGTACAAAAGAATTAGGAACATGTAAGAAATCAAACTACGGAAAATTAAATATATCTATAGTAACCTTACCATAGGCGGATGACCATCGTCAAAATGGCAGCGTATCTACCTCCCTTCCCTTTATATGGATGTTTGCGTATATGCCTGTGTGTATGTACTTAACAAATCAGCACCCTACTATAATTGCTCTTTTAAAATAGCAATTATATCTTATTTTTTTCATACCAATAAACATTTTTACTGTATTCTTTGTGAGGCTTTAACATTTTTTTTTACTATGGGTTGAATATAAATAACTCTATTAATATGAGGTTGAATATAAATAACTCTATTAATAACTCCATGAATATCTTTGAATGTGGATTAAGTTTATTACTTAGTACTCATAGGACATTCTCATTTACCAGAGCCACTTGTTAACTTGTCACAGAGTCAACAATTAAAAATACACAGGGTACAAGTATGGCTTGTTAGCGCTAACCCTTAAAAATCTTGTCCTTGCTGGTCATTTACTGAGTCTTTCTGTTGAGGTCATAATCATTATATCATGTTAAATCTAACCACATTTAGTCTTCATGAAGTCTGTTTTTCAGTCTCACTAAGAAAAGCTTGTTCATACTGAAGTTTGTACGTTTCTCTAAGAAAGTTTAAGTTTACCAAATACACATATATTCAAGATGGGCCATTTTCTTTAATGACATCAAGGGGCTCCTTCAGATACCAGTCTGCTACTAAGACAGCAGTTACGGGCACCTAGTTCATAAACCTTTGAGTATCATCAGCTGTGAAAAAACAAATATTGATCTGTGAAGCCTTGAGATGAGTATCATTCATTATAGACACTTACAAAGAACATACCCTGGAAACCCAGATGAAAGAGAAGCTTATTTTGCTTAGAGAAGAGACAGAGAGTGATATTTGAGGTAGATCTTGGAGAAGGGTAGGATTTTCCCAAGAGGACTCCTGGAGCAGTGAGTCATGAGAGCACAGTCACTGAGACCCAGAAGAGTTGGGTCATTGAAAGAAGAGACACCATTCTTGGGTACCAGAAAGCCAGGCTGGAGTGAAGCAACCACTACCTCTTTGAGTTCCTGATAGTATGCAGGCACTTATCAGAGAACCTTGGGGTTCTCTTCTACCACTAGACCAGGAGCTGAACTTCAAAAGGAACCAAATCTCTACATCCCTGGACTGGATCCCATTCTTGGAAGTGAGCAGGCTCAAGATGGCACATACCTGGCTTGTTTATAACCTCTGCCTATCCTGCAGAACATCATGACAGACATCTCTGATTGACCATGACATTCTTTCTCGATGAGCCCCTATGTGACCCCTAAATGATTCTCAACCCTGTGCTTCTGGCTACCCCCATCAATCTGCCAGGATCTCTCAGGCCATAAGATAAAACCTCCTACATACCACAAGTATATTCACACAAAATATTTGAAAGAGACCCTTACAAAGAGGTCTTTGGTCCACCCAAATTCAATACCGAACGTGAACATCTGAGTTTAAAATGAGAGATTGAGTTTTTTGTGGGAAGATGCTTGCTTGCTTTGTCCAAAAAAAAAAAAAAAAAAAAAATTCTAGGATATGCATAATATAATGCAATCTATATAAACTTAGTTTTCATACACTTCCCAAATTATGAATAAGTTATATTCCAATGGCACAAAAAACTAAGGAACTTGCCCAGGTTCACACAGGTACTTAATAAGCAAAGACAGAGGAAACCCAAGCAGTCCCTCCAAGTAGTTCATGTTCTTAACCTCTGCCTATCACCAGTCCCTTCCTAGTGAGGGAGACAGAATATTCTGGGCACTAAAATCTCCAAGACTGTCTGATAAACATCACCATACTATGAGGAGCACAGAGAGGTGCTGGTTACTTCCAACTGATGAAGGTAATGAGGCCACAGAGGCCTCCTGGTTTTGGTGATCTTTAGCTGTGCCCTAAAAAAATAATAATTAAATTAAATTAAATTTTTAAAAAGGTAAGGGTTTGCCAAACAGCTAAAGGAGGAATAGCATCCTAGAAAGACAGATGGCATAAAATCATCAGGTTTGTAGTTCATGCAGTCTCCACTGAGCAGCTGTTGGGGGGAGAGGCCTGCATGTGGCTCTAGTGCACAAGACAAGATCACTGTCCCAAGTCTTTGTGCCCAAATGCCAGACACATGAAATGTTCAACGGCAGTACAGTGTGAAAAATGATCCACAACTTCTAGAAGCGCCTTAAGGAGCAAGTTACTAACAGGGAGCAGGGAGGTCTGTTGGTCATTTCTGCATCTGATTCCCCTGGGCAGACATAATGTGATCTGAACATGGATAGATGATAGTGTGAGCGGATATTGTCATGGACACAATTGCTGAGGTGTTAACAAAATGTTGTGCTTTCTCCTCCCAGATGAAAGGCTGCATAAAGGTGTTGAAGGAACAGGCCCCGGACAGCGTGGAGGGGCTGCTGAATGCCCTCAGGTAAGCTTCAGCCCTGCAACTGACCCTTCAGAGAGAATTCAGATCTAGATGCTGTTAGGGACCAAGCACTAGAGCACCAGGCTTAAGCCCATGTGTACCTTCACATTCTTAATCTTGGCAACACCCAAGATGGAAGTTGAAGTCAGCACCATTTTTATGATGGCCTCTTTACAGATGGAAGAAACTGAGATGTAGGGAAATGAAATAACTTGCCCAAAGTCACACAGCAGACGACAGAGCTAGAACCTAACCCTGGGTCGATGTGACCTTATAGGCCACGGGCCTAACTCCAGGCTGCACTGCCTTGTAGTTAGTGGAGACTCCTCAGAAGCAGCAGCTTCCCCTTCACTTGGCTGTACGTGAGAATTGTGGGTGGCTTTTGAAAACTCTAATGCTCGGGCTTCAACCTAACCCAATGGATTAGAGTCTCCAGGGTGGGGACTCAGGTGTCCATTCTGTGATTGCTCTAAAGCTCTCTGGACGACCTGCATACACAGCCGCCAGAACTGAGAACCCTGATCTACCCTGTCTCGATGCCCAAGCATTTGGCAGCTATGGCTCATGTCAGCTTCTCACTGCTGACAGTTGATGTCCAAGCAGCCTCTCTTCCAAGGATACATGTGCTTCATATACTCCAGAGAAGGGATTCTTATTTCTTAGCTGTAACACATCTACAGGAAATTGTTGAATCACACTATGACGTAAATCATTCCAATGCTGGATTGCAATCTGGAAGGTTTACGGTCCTCGCTGTCTTATTCATCTTTGATTTTTCTGAGTTCCACTCAATGCTGTGCATGCAGTAAGTGTTCAATAAGTGTAAGTGGAACGGACCAATAGTCTTCTCCCTGTGTACAACACTCTGTCTTCTACTCCACTCCTGAGCACATTGTCTCATTTAATTATCACAACTCAGAGAAAGAAGGTGATATCTTATCCCATTTAATAAATGAAGAAACAGCCACACATTTAATGAACAAAACTGAGGTTGATGCCGTTTTGTGGAGTTGCTAGGTCATCATTCTTCAGAAGAGATGTAGCATTTACAGAGGAGCCTTCCAGATTCCATGCATGAACGAAGCTTTTCTCCATTGGTGCCCATTTCATGGCAGCCTGGATTCCCGTACACAGTCAGATTTTGGTGCCTGATTTTTTTTTTTTTTTAACTTTCCGGCTTCACTCAGTCAAGCCAGGCTTGGTGAAGAGCAGGACACTGTGCTGAGCAGTGAGTCCCATGGTTTCTTGTAGGTACTATGATGAACAGAGAGCGCCCTGGCTTTTGAGGTAGACAGACTTGAGTCCAAAGCAGAAGCCACAGTCTCGCTCACAAGTCATTGTCAGATCTGTGGTCTGAAAAGGGCCATTTCACCTCCCTGAATCTCAGTTTTCTCACCTGCAAAATGGAGGCAGGAACTGTGTGGGTGAAATGAGAGCTTACACGAAGTGCCTAGGATGTGGCAAGGTTTGATGACATGTTAATTCCTCTTTCCTTCCTTTTCATAAACCACTCCTGTGGCAGGTGAAGCAGCTTTTTTTTGTTTTTTTGGTTTGTTTATCTGCACTTGTGCCCCCTTGTGGTGGCAATGAGCATAGCACCCCAAGGAAAGTAGAAAACCATCAACATTACCTTTAGGGGTAACGTGATGGATCGATAGAGATCCATGTTCTGAGATTTGTAACTCAGCAGGAGGAGCCTAGAAGGGTGAGATGCTGCACTCCTTCAAGTGAAGTCTACCTCCCTGGAAAATGAGATTGCTTGTATCTCCTCCACGTACTTCTCTGATTAGATACAAAGCCTGCTTGTTGAATAACCACAATACAAAATTCCTCTGGGAAAAAGAATCAAATATTAAATCCATTTGAGAATACACCGGACATCAGAGTGTGGCTATTTGTCTAAGGAACGAGCTCAAGTTTGATTTATAAATATCCATTGTGTTTCTCAAGGTAAAGAGGGGCTGAGAGTCATCATGAAGCTTTGGCAGAGCACTGTTTACACACTGACCCCCATCACTTTCTCTCCACGCAGGTTCACTACAAAGCACTTGAATGATGAATCAACTTCCAAACAGATTCGAGCAATGCTTCAGTAGAGCTCTGCTCAAAGAAGAGGATCTATGTACTGACCTCAGAAGATGTATATGTTTACATAATTTAATACAGATTGATGTTAATACTTGTGTATTTACATAACCGTTTCCTTCTTGTCACTGAAATATACGGACTTTAATTTGTATCTTGACTGACTCGACCCAGCAGAGCATAAATTGACTTGAGAGCCTTACCTCTGATGTCTAAAGCAAAACCCTCTTCTCCAAGGCCAAAATTTGGAGATAATTGATCTTTACTACTGGAGTCCTTTAACTACACCTGTAACAATCCAAAATTCCTAATAGTTTGTGGTAGTGTTTTAATTCTAGATGTGTAATCTCTCTGGGAAGTATACTTATAGAAATACAAAGTATTTGATTTCCTGTGTCGGCTTGGCTACAAGAAACACAACTGTTATCCTGACAGAGGGAGAGAGAAATCCAAGAAAAGAAAAATGCATGTGAAGACACAAACTCAAGTGTTTTGAATTCAGCACACCCCCCTCTCTTTCCTCAGACTGCAAACCACATGTGCAGCTTTTTTGTTTGCACGTATTTTATTTATCAACATAGTCCCCTTCTGTCTGGATTTATATTCCTCTAACATCCCCTTTTGATTCTGCAAGAGGTAAATCACCTGTGCTTGAATCCGTTTGTAAGAAAGAAGTGAGAATACATAGATGTGCTCTCATAGCTGAGCTGTGAAGGTGGTTGTCTTGGAAGTGGGGGACAGATTGAGAGGAAGGACCTACAGGCAACAGGACAGTCATCTCTCTGCTTCAGTCCTCTGGCTTTGGGTAATTTTGCTGACACTCCAGTTGTCTGTGAGGTGCTAGTTGCACAGCCCCTCCTAAAAGGAGCCCTGTTCTTTGTGGGCTGATATGTGGCAACCGAAGTCTAGGGTACTTCACTGATTACCAGAAAACTGGGGAATTCAGAGGGGGAAAACCCTACATTTTCCAGTTCCCTACTATTTAAAAGGTAGCTCCTCCCTGACCATATTGCTAGCTTGTTGCAATGTGTAAAATTTTGGTCTGAGTACCTGGACTTAGTCCTAGCCTTATTGATCCACCAGGTGATCTTTGGAAGTTCACTTAAGCTCTCTGTGTCTCACTTTCTTCATCTATAAAATGAGCAATTAGAACATGATCGCCAAGAGCCCTACAAAGCAATGAGCCAATACAATGACTGACTCTGTTATGCTTCCTTAGTAAGTACAGTCTAGGAAGCATCACCCCACCTTGTCTTAATGATTGAAGATATGACAAGGCCTATGATCTGCAGATCAGAGCTTATAATGGAATCTTGTAAATCTCCTATTCCAACCTTCCAGGGAAAAATGAGACGAGGGTGTAGCAAACGTGATGAACCCCCTGTAGGACTAGAGCCCAGGATCCCTCACTCCTGACTCTTTCCCTCTTCACCAAGTGGCCTATGCATATGTACTATGGGATGAGATTGGACACTTTTAAGTCAATCTTCAGTCTGGTTTATATTATTACTTGCCTATTTCTAATAGAAGGAAAGAGCTGCCCAGTGATTGACAATCCCAGAAGTTGGGCATGGGTACATCAGGGTTTCATTCGCCATATCCCAAGGAATGAGCTGTCAGACACAATTGATTTCCAGACTTTCGTGTCCAGCTGGCATTCTCTTGAGTCCTCCAAAAAAAAGGGGAAACATACTTTTGTTTTGCTTTATTTTTAACAACAACAAAAAAACCCAGTCAAGTGGCAGAACAGATTCTCTGGTTTATATCTAAATGTCAGTCAACAGAGAAAGAAAAAAAGACCCTTTTCCTTAGAACCTTTCAAGCTGAACAAGTACAGCTGCTTGGGTGGGGGGAGAGTGGTTCTCTCATCAGAACAGAAATGCACTTAGATGGCCTTCATGATTTTTTCAAACCTAGGGATTTTAACACCTTTGAGGAAGCCAGGAAATGGGGTAACAATGGGTGAACAAATTCATTGACTGTTCAGCTTAAGAAATGTTCAATTTGGCAGCCACATATTATCTTTAAGCAGCAACTGTCAAGACAAGAATTATAGAGGCACTCAATATTTATCATCATTGAGTCCATTTGTTTCCTTTATCGGGTGAGGAGCTTAAGTCTTGGAGACAGGAAAGGACTTGCAGAGTAAATAGTTGAGCACATTTATAATTTTTAATTAGACTTTTATCAAATGGGACCAAACATATGGGAGGGGCTGCTGGCCTGCCCCAATTTAGCCCGGCCACCTTGTTTCAAAGCTAAGATTCACTTAAACATGGATTTTCAAAAGCCAAGGGCCTGAACTATTGCCTCTGATTATCAGGAGGACAAGTTAATTGAATGTCTGTGATCACTAACAGGTAATGGATCTTGGGTCCATCCCTAAGCTACCGTGGGAGACAAATTCTTTTAACAGACTGTCCTCCAGGCATCAGAAGGCCACGAACAATCATGGTTTTTCTGTGTGTGCTGCATGCACATGTGTTCAAGACCCATGGATGGTTTAGGGGAACGTGAAAGCCACAGTATCCATGTCGATGTTAACTATATTTCATATTTGATGTTTCATAGTATTCAAATAAACAGTGTTTTCCATTACTCAGATATTTATTTTGGGGCAGGCAACAGGTGAAACTCACATTTCTCAGATGCACTGCTACTTTGGCATCATAACTTTGTTCTCAGAAGTTTTTCATGCATCGTTAAGAACTACTAATCGAAAGCAAGTGGCAATGAATTTTTTTGAATTGTGGTAGCCCATTTGGGCTGGAGTATTTATTAACAACCAGAAAGAAAGTCTTGATGGTAATATCTTAATTGTTAGTTAATCTCATGCTTTATTATTTGCTTCTAGTCATCATCATTATATCAAGACATTAATGGTAAACTGAGGTTTTTGACACATCATCACATTTAAGTAAAACAAATAATAATCATGCTTCCTCAAAAGAAAAATGAAGCCTACCCAATCTTGGAATCCAATTGTGCAGTAGAATTCAGAGACTTCTCATTCAATCTTGTATCCAAACAGCTACAAATTTTTCTAGATACTAAGAATAAACAATGGAATTTTATCTTAAAGAACAAACATTTTGGAACTTAACTTCCCCATTACATCTGTAAAGGCTGTTGCATACACAAAGCTGTTTTAAAGTTGTCATATGTTGTTTGCTAAAGTCATTGTCATTTCTTTGCCTGCTTTGCCTCTTTTTGTACAGAAGTTTTGAGTGTGAAATGAAAATTAAAGTTTGGTACATATATTTAAAAATATACCTCTATTTTATATGATGTTCAACGTTGAGTGGGTGCTGAGCACATGATCACAGATATTTGCTAAACACCTGCTCTGGGGACCAGCAAATCATGCCATCTGCCTTTCACCTCTCTTTATATACAACATAAAATACACAATATATTCTGCTCTTGGTACCAGCTATATTTTATTCATTTCAGCAAAAATCTTTCATTATTAAAAAAAAGGCATAGAATAAACAGAGACATGATTGCTATCTAGAGATACATGAGACCTACTTGTCCAAGGATGCTAAGAAGCCCTGATAAATACCCACGCAGTCTATCTTTTGAGTGCAGTACCCCTTTATGGATTCGACAAAGTCAGCTGTTAACTTATTCTATATAAGTACATTTTTCAGACAACTTTAGCTCTAAAATAATTCTTTTAAAAATTGAGTATTAAAACTGTTTTAGAGCATCCCTACACCTTTTAAGCTTTTTACCTGAGACCTAATTGTGTATGCTACCAAAGTGTCAGAGTCCCCAAAAGAGATCTCCCGTGATGCCCTATACAAAAGACAAAGGTACAATAATTAGGACTATTTGGGAAATGAGTAGGAATGGGAAATTTTCTGTAAATTTTTTAAAGGTTTTATTTATTTATTCATGAAAGACACACAGAGAGAGGCATAGACACAGGCGGAGAGAGAAGCAGGCTCCATGCAGGGAGCCTGACGTAGGACTCGATCCCAGGTCTCCAGGATCACGCCCTGGGCTGACGGCGGCGCTAAACCGCTAAGCCACCTGGGCTGCCCAATTTTCTGTAAATTGACACACTGACAGATTACAAATGGACACAAGCTGGAAGGATAGAGAAGAAAAGGGACCAAGAGAGAAAGACTCTAACTAAATGAATGTTGAGAGTCAAGAGACATGAAAAAAGGAGTGTATGTGTGATTGTCAAGAGGAATATAGCTACTGGCATGAGGAATACCCTTCATGCCAGCCAAAAAAAGTTGGGTGTTAATCAGGGTTCTCTTGGAAGGATGGAGATGAGTTCAACTGGCCACATTCATGAAACCTGGTGAATAGTGAATATATGCATTCTGTATTCACACTGACTTCATATTCTGGGGTATCATTAAGTAGATAAAATTTCTAGGCAGGCATTTGCTGCCGGAAAGGTCTGTACTACTTTTAGCCATCACAACCTAAGTGATTAAATAATACTAAATAATATGTACTTACACTGTTTATACAATTTACTGATACTATTCATGTCCATTAAGTACATTATTCCATCCAGTGCCAGAATCCTGGTCTCTAATAGTAATAACAAAACAACAAACAAACAAAAACTTGCTGATCACACCCCCACACATCGTTTATACAGTGATAAAGAAGAGTCTTGACTGTTCCATCTCTTCAGCTCAAAGTCAGACTACAAAGAACGGAGATTTTCTGCCCTGGTCACATCAAGTTCCAAGTTCTATAAAAATACCTTTTGAAATTATGGTAAGTAGGATTTGAGATAAATCCCAGAATTTTATGTAGAGCCATTTAGGCTGAGACATCGTATAAACTCATTTAAGAAAATCTTTTCCCTATAAAATCTTCCAGTTTTCCCCCACAAATTGTATATTTCTAGATTCTTCTTTCTCTCTGCCTTCACTTACTGTTCATTTTTAAGTTGTCCTTGTTTGCCCCAGGACAGGCTTTGTTCCGAGTAAGGAGCTACATTTTATTGGCCATTCCTACTATACCTAAGAGGTAGAGTCTTCAGTGCTGTGACTTGAGGACCAGTGGTTTTAAAAGGCTCCTTCCACATTGAAGAAGGCTGTCTCTAGAAAATATCAAAAGTACTTGGAGGAAATTATAGAATTGTTTTCTCCAAAATGTCTATATGTCTGATTTTTTTCCTTTTGT